AAATCCATATTGGTCGCTCCCGATTACAACTTGTCATGTTTTAACATAAGTGAAGAAAAAAGCATTCCAACTGTTTTTCAGGACCGTATTATCACGGTAATCAAGGTGTGGCCTCCACTATTACGCCGTTCTGGGTCGTACCACCGCCCGAGGTGAGCATGCAGCCGTTCAGGCATTTACATTGGACAAAAGTCATGCAACGTTTGGTGCATTCATTTAGCTGCTTCCCCCCCACCCACAATAATTTTCTTCAAAATGTGCATGTAAAGAATTAAGAGTTGGTTTATTCTAATTATTGCACTGTGTAAACCTTTTTAATTATTTATACTTTATCTACAACTGATGTGGCCCGCGCAACCGTTTTAAAAATCCAACTTGTCCGCAAAGCACAAAGTTGACTTGTTTTTGGGGTGTGTCTTTCGTTGCAGCAAAGGCCCAACGACTACGGGATCCCCGTGGCCGTGGAGGTCACGTATGTTCAAGACAACTTCCTCACCAGTGACGTCCTCAATGAGATGGTAAAACCGTGTGTGGCAGAAAAAAAATAATAAATGACGCTAAATGTAAAATAAGGTTTAAAAAAAATAAAAAATAAAAATCCTGACTGCAAATTGTTTGCAGGTGCTGCTGGTGGACTTCTACAAGGCCGCCCCGGACCTCGTCCACTTCAACCAGTACTGGTGTCCCGACACCACCATGATGGACAAAATCAAGGTGAGAGCAACAACTTCCAAAATCAGCTTTATGGAACCATTTATTTATTTTTTATTGAGGTTTTGTGTTTGGTAACATTTTGACGGGCATTATTAATTCATGAAGTCAACGGTTCCTCGCTGCTCCCTCCCCTCAAAGGGCTCACTGAGCTGCCACGCCCCCAAGGACCAAGCCTACTCCCAGATCCTGGAGCACGTCTACAGCCAGCTGAGTGGCGTTCAGTGAGACGTGCAGACGGACCAATCGCTGCCCCGTTTCAGTTTGACTTCATCATCGATAAGACATCGACTGGGGGCAGAAAGTCTCATATGTCTTTTTTTTTTTTGTTTGTTTTTGGTCATTTTGTGAATGTTTACGTTTGTTGAGGTTACACTGAGGTGATTTCACTGTAGCTATAATGCCGTTTCTCAAAAGGTTTTAGGCTCCGGGAAGAGTAATAAGGAGAAAAATTAGCCTGTTTTGGTTCACGGACCCCAGTTTTGAGACCGACTGTATTGTGTGCTTGTTTCTTGTTCTCTTAACTTTTTATTTATTATTGCAACTGCATGAGAACAGAGCAAAATACAATAAGGCTGTTCTTCAGAAGCGTTTCAACCAATACACACTGGAAATATTTAAAGTGACTTTTTTTTTTGTATTTCTGTGCATTACAATATCAGAAAATAAATTCACTTTTTTTTTTTGTCTTTTGTTTATTGTAAGAAGTGGAGAGGGTCAGAAAAGATGCACATACACATAATGGTAATAAAAGACCAAAGAATTGTGGTTAAATTCAGTTCTCAATACCAGAGGTAAAAAGGTGGCTTACATCTAACATTTTACAGGGTACAACAATGAAGAATATCATAAAGGACTACATGCCATTTTTTGTCATTGGTTTGGATATAAAAATAATACTATAGTGAGCCTGAATACGTGTAAGAACGATTCCATTGAATATTTAAGACAGACTACACAAAACGTCGCGCTTTACAATCAGTAAATGAATGGAACTTTTGGAAACATATCTTAAAAAAAAAAAAAAAAAGTTATCCGTGTATGTGAGGAAACAGCTGTAGTGTTGTAAAAGTTCCACGGGTTAGAAATTGTGGACCACTTATAAAGTAGCTATTCCATTCGTTTTTGGTTTCCCACCTTTCTGTTCCAAAAGGCACTCGAAAGCAACTTTTTTTGTTTGTTTTTTTGTTGTTCTTTTTCCTTCAACAGCTAGCAATCCATGCACAGTGCTATGATACCACGTGTAAACATATTAGACAAGGACCAAAACACAGTGGCGCTCTGGTTCTGGGGGGTGGTGGTAAATACACAAACACTGACAAAATGGTAAAAACATTTCCGAATCAAAGTTTTTTCCCTTGATCGTTTTCCCTTTGACCGAGTTTGGAATCCTCAAACCGTACACAAATGGATTCTTGTTCAGTGGAAGCTCCAAAGTGGAACACAATCTGTTTGACTCACTGCTAAAGCCCTGACTAATATAAAACACATGCCATGGCGCCATGTTGGAGTGAGTGGAGGAACTTCAAATTCTTCCAACCTTGTAAAGCATCGGCTCTAAAAAGTGTTGAATATACCGATTACAAAACACCAGGTGAAACAATTTTGCCGCCTGATCTTTGCACCGGAAACGGTTGCTGTACATGAGGTCCATGAATTTAATGTCAACGCTAATGTGTCTTAGCTCTTCCTTTCGCATTGTTATCATTACTTTCGTTAGATGAAATGACGTGGTTTGATTGAACGTTTTGTTGTTTCAATGGACAATGTTTCACTCGCTTTTGTTTGTGTATCAGTTTTATAGTAAACTTCCAAGACAAAAAGCTTGAAGCATGCATGCTTTACCTCTTCCTTGGATGACTGCGAGCGAATCGTCTTTTCCTGAAAGTAATGTTAAAGGATAGTCTCCCATTTCTGGATTGCGTGAGAGTAAAAATAGTTGCTACGCTAAGGAATACTTTAAAAAGTGTGTACAATATTTTGGGGAGGGGTTGAACTCAAAACTTGTCTCACTGTTGGGCCGTTCCACTTTGGTGATTCCACTTGTATTAAAAGCACAGGAAGAGTTGAGATAAAAATCCAGAGCTTGGAAATACCTGCAAGGGAGACTTTTGCTACCCCCCCCCCCCACCCTCCAAAAAATGGAAGAGGGAAGCAGGAATTTCACATTATGGACAAAAAGACAAGCGCTGCCAGCAGCGTCGTCCTTTCAGGCACTGCGTGTGTAAAAGGGGCTCTACAAGGGGTCAGGACACACACTGAAACAAAATGGGGCAACGTGCACTTGTCAAGTGAAGCTAGCATCACTGAAATGCTGTAAGAAAACACTGTAGACTAAACCATTGAAAAGCCAAAACACTGAAGGCTATCCGGTGTTTATGGGAAGCTCTGTGAGCATTTTTTTTTTCATATTCTTGATATCCAGCTTAAAGTGCAAGTACGAGTATGCCCTTTGTCCTGAGCAAGACAATTCAATGCACTGGTAGGACAACTGTCATACTAGTTCTGTAGCCGCACCACCCCAAATAACATTTCTGCAGTTCGGCCTTGGTTGACCTGCGTTGCACTCTGCTCCACAGGGTTCAATTTTGGGGCCCCTGCAGTTTTCATAGTATGTGCTGCTTGGAAAAGAGCTTAAGAAAAGAAGGTTTTCCTTTCACTGCTATGTGGATGGACGATCGTTCTACTAGTGCACTTAGTTGCTTGTGAGGACAAAGTGCTTACTAGTACTTGGACCTTCAACCAGCGATCAAGGTTATGGAATAAATGCTTCAACTGCCTTCCACAGGTATAATTTGTTGCTAGAAAGCGCTAGGCTGCGACGGTGTGGTTCAAAACCTCAGTCAGATTTTGTTTTTAAAAAATTAAAAAGCAATTGTCAGAGTGGCCAGCAGGTGTCATCACTGAGGCTGTCAAATTTGAAACTGGGGGAGTATTGCATCAACCTGAGCTTTGCGTGCTTGCTTTGTCTCGGTCTAGAACTCAAGGGAGGATTTAAGAGTCCGTCCTCCGAGCGGAAGCGGCTCTCGTGTGGACCACGCCGGGTCTGTCCGAGGCCCCGCGCCCGACCCACTCTGCCTTAGTGGGGCAACGGAACCAGCACCTCCACGTAGTTGAGGGGGAAAAATCCCGACTGGCTGTTGAGCATCCCCTCATACCAGTTCTCGTCAATCTGATTGGTCAGCGTGATGATGTCGCCCTCGCGGAAGCCCAGTTCGCCCTCGTTCTCTGGCTCAAAGTCGTAGAGCGCCTTACAGCTGGGCTGCTCCGGGGCTGCGGCCGAGGGGGAGGGAAAAGCAGGACTTTTTACCACAGCATTACAGACAATGTCACAATATCCTGAGGCACCGGTTTTCTAGTAGTGTCATCTCCTGCTTGGTGGTTATTTAAAAAAAAAAAAAAAAATGTTCCTTACTGTCCGTAACAATTACATCCATGTTCATTTTCCATGCACACATACTCCCCGTTTGTCCTCTGATACTAAAAACAGGCACGGTGAATTTGTTACCCTTTCCATTGTTTCGAGATTCCCTCAAGACCCTTTAAACATCTACTGGCGCACATTTCTGCGGGAAATCCTCAGAGCCGTCAGAATCTGACCGAGAAAATGCCGCTTTCTAGTGGGTATACGCCAGGTGCCAAGACTTTCCGAAGGATCGTTAAAAGCCGACAAAAGCAAACGTCCATGGATCAGTTCTTGAAAAAAACGCCAGGCAAAAACCACTTCTGAGAGACGACACAGACTAAAGACGGCAAAAAAAAACGATGAGGACACATTTAAAAGTTAAATGACCATCATTTTTATTCTTTTGCAATTTTTTCCCCTGATAAACCATACAGTGGTACCTCTACTGACAAAAGTCTCTTCATACAAAATTTTCAAGTTATGAAACACCTCAACAGAAAAATATTGCCCTTTGCTATGAAAGAAATGTCGAGATACGAAAGGTAAAAATACAAGATGGGCTGTTGCTCGCAGCTCCGAGTTTCCTGAACGCAACATACTTATAGCTGCTCTGCCATTGGCTACTCTGTATGTGTCTATGCAGCTTCCTCGTCATTCGCCCCTCGGGCCATGAGATGTTCGGATCATTTTACGTAAATGTGAATCACCCAGAAAAAGTGTTCACCAGTCGGGCGATCGCTCATTTTCGAAGGATCGTTAAAAGCCGACAAAAGCAAACGTCCATGGATCAGTTCTTGAAAAAACGCCAGGCAAAAACCACTTCTGAGAGACGACACGGACGAAAGAGGGCAAAAAAATGATGAGGACTCATTTAAAAGTTAAATGACCATCATTTTTATTCTTTATTCTATGTTTTTTACATTACGCACAACTCTAATATGTTGTGCAATAATCTAATATGTTCCATATTTTGATGCATTCTTATGCTTTATAGAACATTTATGTTTGAATTTTGGGGGGGCTTGGAACGGATTAGGGCATTTACATGGAAAACG